TCCCGGGCAAACCGAGCGGACTGGTGTCAGGATAGCCTGGTGAGCCGGGATTGGAAAGCACTGTCCTTCCGGAGCACAGTGAGACCCTATACAGCAGCAGTTCTCAACCTGGGGGTCGTGACCCCTTTGGGGGTCGAACAACCCTTCCACAGGGGTCGCCTAAGACATAACGTAGCAAAATTACAGTTATAAAGTAGCAACGAAAATAATTTTATGGTTGGGGGTCACCACAACATGAGGAACTGTATTAAAGGGTCACGGCATGAGGGAGGTTGAGAGCCACTGCAAAAGGCTGATCACTTTTCCCTTTGGTTTTGCCCGATCCCCAGCCTCTGTACTGCCTCCTTGAAGCTGGAGCACGGAAATACACCTGCAAAGAATAACGCTCTGAATTTCTCCAACGGCCATACACCTGCCGGTGACAGTTTATTGGGGGAGGCGGGGCAGGAAGGGCAGGGGACCTGGGAAAGACACCTGCTGAAGGACTGGGTGGGACTGGGTTTGGGTCCTAGTCTGCAGCTTACTAGCTGTTGGGGTGATTTAATTTACTTTAAGGGGCTTCTTCCACCTCCCTAAAAGGGGAATAATAATTTTTTACCTTATAGGGCCGTTTGTGAATTAACAATGTATGTTACTTGCCTGGAACATAGTAGGCATTCGGTAACCAGTAGGTATTGTTTATTAATTAAATTAAATTTGTTTTGTTAATTAAAAACTTGCTCTTATTTCATTGACAACTTTGCCAATAAGATTCCGAGGCTCTGAAGAAACATTTTGGCCGCCCATAGGCGCTTTGGAAGTGTCTTACTGAAATACTTCATGCTGCTGGGAGAATGGATTGTCATGTCCCCAGGACTCACATACTCGGAGGACCACATCACCGAGGGGAATGAAACACATGCACTGGCACCAAAATGAAAACCACGGGACCCTAATCTCAGTGGGAGGTGGCAGGGACTAATAGCTCAAAACAGGGAATGAAATGGAAAGGCCGGGACATCCCTTCCTTTTCCCGGTGGGGGAAAAATGTCATTCACGTGGGGTGGAATTCACACATTCAGGTAAAAGTTTGTAAACAAGAATCAATAGATGGGGAAACAGGTCTTGCTGGGTTTTCAGTACTGCTAGAAACGTGAGACCCTGTTTATTACCCAGCATCCTCTCGGCATCATTCTGTAGGTGCAGACATCAGGTTTTTCCAGTGTGCTTGCTAAACCCTTGCTTCCCTCCAGAGAGTAAGGAAGGAGAAGAGTTCGGCCAACCCCCTACAGTATTTCCAGCTTGAAGGATGGCTGAGATAGAAAGTCTTGTCCTGTTGCTTCTCCAGATGCACGTCCTCATCCAGCCTGTGTCAAAACACGGGAAGGGGCGCTGCTCTCCTGAGAACCTACCGGCGGGACAGTGGAGGTTGACTTGCCTTAGAGAAGTTTACTAAACTGTTGGTTTCTCTAAAGTCCAGATTCTGTCCCTGTTCCTCTGTTTATTTAGTCAAGTGACTTTTATTGTTCTTTCCATTTGGGAGGGAGAAATTGTTTTGCAGTCCAATGATAAGGATTCTTATTTGACCCGTTAACACGTAAAATGGTGATAGAAATGTCAGCTCATCATCCACACGATCCCCCCTTGTGTCATCTCAGCACCTTTTGTTTGTCCTTGGTTGTTCCTATGATGTTTTAAAAATTTCAGTTACTTGCTTTCAACATTTGAAAGTTTATTCTGAAGAGCAGAAATCACAGTAATAACTTAGTATCTAAAAATAAGATGCAATAGTGGTCTTGATAAGATTAATGGTCGCTTACCATTAAGGAGGACAAGACTTGTGATTTAATTTTTGTGGGCATTATTTATTCCCTCTCTTTCCCACGTACACACACACACACACACACACACTTCTTCACCTGCAAACTCCATACCTATAAGGGGAAATGTCACAGATGAGGACCTGAGTCTCAGATCTTAGACGTGCCTCAGATCAAACAGACAGAAAACGGATCCAGGAGCGTGGCCTTTCGATGGCCTTGGCATTTTCGTTCCCGAGGAACCCCCGCAGGGCTGTGGCACCGCCTTCAAGGAGGGACCTTGTGGTATTCACCTTTGCACCCAGCTCCTAGCGCAGACCAGAACGGACGGAACAAGGGAGTGACGCAGCTCCTACGTTATTTTAAGAAGGTGAATCCGGCGAGGAAGAGGGGACGAAGAGAACAGGGAAAGGCTGGTGGCCTGGAGACCAGTTTGGATGTTACTGGAGTAATGCAGGGAAAAGGTAACGGGACTGAATGAGGGAGCAGCACTGAGGAAAGAGACGCAATGAATGTGAAAGAAATTCTGCCTTGGCCGGTTTGGCTCAGCGGTTAGAGCGTCAGCCTGCGGTCCAGAGAGACCCGGGTTCGGTTCCCGCTAAGGGCATGTACCTCGGTTGCAGTTTGTCCCCGGCCCTGGTTGGGTCGTGCGGGTGGCGACCACTCGATGTGTCCCTTTCACGTCAATGTTTCTCTCTCTTCCTCTCTCTCCCTCCCACTCTATCTGAACAAAAAATGGAAAAATGTCCTTGGGTGAGGATAAAAAAGAGGGTGTCCGTGGGACTTGCTGACCACGTGCAGGCAGTGAGGAGTGCCGGGGCCTTTGATAAATATCCATCTAGGTAGCAAATACTTTTTGAGCATCATCTGTTGCAGGAACAGTTCTAGATGCTGGGATACAACAGTGATCAGGCAGACAAGGGTTTTGCTCTCATGGACTTGGTATTCTTGTTGGAGGGTGTATCGCTCCATTCTCCAGAGAACCCTATCTCTCACTGTGTATTTTCGAGGCGTTGGCTTCGTGACGTCGGGGCTGGCAAGTCTGAAATGTGCAGGGCAGGCCCGCAGGCTGGACACTGAGCTGGTGCTGCCTCCTTGAGCCAGAACGGCTTTTCTTAAAAAAGTTTTGCTCTTAAACCCTTTCAACTACTTAGAGGCCCACCTAGATTATTTGGGATAATCTCTTCTATTTAAAGTCAGCTGATTATAGATATTGATCACATCTACAGAATACCCTAGATTCGTGTTTGGTAGAACAGCCTGGCCCAGCTAACCCCAACCATCACAGAGGCTATAAAACAGGACGGTGAATGGAGAGAAATCCCCGAGGGTGTCAGAGAATAAGTACTGACTTCTGCGGCTTGGACACGCAGGAAGTCTTCTCCACGTGATCTTCATTTACAGATGAGGCCGTGAGACTTGGAGTTATTAAGTGACTTGTTTCAGCTGAAACAGCTAGTGACGGGCCCTCATTCTGACTCTGGCAGACACAACAGAGCCTGCCTCCCAGGGCTGGTCAGAGGGGCCAGAATGTTTGACTTGGTTCCCAGGAGGAACACCCGTGGTGAGCAAATCCAGATTAGGAACATGCCCCCCACCCCCCCCCAACGTAGAGCCTGAACAGAGGGAGGGAGGATTGCTTGGGGGCAGCAGTGGGGGAGAGGGGAGAGGAGGGAGGGGAGGAGGGTGGTTAAGCAGGCTGGGACTCTGTCTAGCCTCAGCCCCTCCCTCACTGGGCTGGCACCACCTCCTTCCAGTACCCAGCTCAGGACTTTGTCTGACCCAGTACTTCTGCCTAGAACACCCTCCTTCCCCTCCCCTCCCGTCAGGTGGATAATGTCCGTGCAGCCCTCCGGCCTCAGCTTCGGTGCTACATCTGGGAAACTCTCCTTGTTATAATCCTCCCAACCCCTATTCTACTAATGTGGTACTTAGCACTGTTGTCACTAAACAGTGTAGTTGTATTATTATCTTATTAGTGTTTGCCTGCCCTGTTCTCCTCCGTAAGGGAAGGGGCCCGGTCTCTAGCCTGCCAGCTCCCAGTGACGAACACAGTTCTTGGCAGACACCCCCTGCTGGCCGGAGGCACGGGTGGGGGAACGAATGAATGAGATCCATACCCCCCAAGCAGGGATTCTGCAGGGATTCTAAACAGCAATCCGCACACACAGTGACACACCCCAGATGCCACTCTCCTTTTGTCTCCTCGCCAGTCCCATCCTATTCCATGTACAGCTGATCCCAGCCCTGGCACGTGGGTCTCCCCCAGTTCAGTTTAAAGGTGGCCCTCCTGCACCCTTCTCTAATATGAGGGGTCCTTTGAGTACTGGGCCTGAAGCCACCTGACACAAAGGACAGGTGAGAAGGGTTAGCAGGGGAGGAGAGGGGAGCGCGGGCCCAGTGCGGGCGGGGCGGCACCGAGGAGAGGGGGTCCGGATGGGTGGAGTGCCCAGAGAGCCTCGCACTCCGCCGGACAGCTCTCTCCTTGCCCGGGCAGGCGTTCCTGACTGCTTCTGCCCGAGGTCTAGTCTTGTGAGTGAGAGACAAGCTTCTGACTCCAACAGCGAGTGTCTGAGTGGGGAGGGAGCGCCGTGAGGAGCTGCCCACATGCCCACGTGCACGGGAAATGAGGCGGCGTGGGGCCCATCAGCTGTGCCAACAGTGAAGGTCACAGCACCTTCCACTCTGGCTTCTGGTTTGACACCCAGCAGCCGTAACAACTTCAAAGGCCATTTGTGTCGTTAAATGCTTCCAGGAGCTCTTCTGCCCTTTATGTCAGACCCCAAATATTAATGGAGATGAGCCTTTATTTAGCCATTGTCTTCCGATTGTGGGGAAAGAAGTCCTGGGGTCATGTACACGTAGCGTCCATCATGTTACCCTGAAAGGTCTGTGCAAGGTTCTCCCCTTGAGTTCTTGCCGCAAACATCCTTCCTGTTGAGAAAGAGAAAAATCTCTGTTTCCACATTCTGTACATTTTCTGAAACTGGAATCCTGGAGGACACTCCTGGTACCCAGACAGATGTTGGCCTCATCGCTGTAGGGGTAACAGCAAGCACTTTGGCCCAGGTGTGAGGAGACGGAGGTTTGAGTCTTGACCCTGCCATGAGCAGCTGAGTGACCTTGGACAGGTCTGGGCTCAGGCGGACTCGGGAGTGTGTGCAGTTGCCGCCGCGCTAAGCTGTGTGGTTCTCATTGCAGGCATCTTTTCCACAAGTCCTGTGTTGACCCCTGGCTCCTAGACCATCGCACCTGTCCCATGTGCAAGATGAACATTCTTAAAGCCCTAGGGATCCCGGTAAGCACAGCACAGTCTACAGCATCGTCATGTCTGTCTTTCTGCATCACCCCCGCAGCAGGGAGAAAACGTCACCCCTGGCTTTTCTCTGTCCCCGCAATCCCCCAGCAGGGGCATCATCGGCTGAGGCCCTAAGAGAATGCCCGTGTCTGCAAACACTTCTCCTCTCGCTTCTCCTCAGTCTGGGAGCATCACGACCTTCTCCCCGTGTGCACTTGATCTGTCTGTGTCAAGGCGCTGCACCTGCAGCTCACGGCCTTCCTCCAGGCTGCCGTGAGGGGCGCTGGCGGGACACCACAGAGGCCTGGTGGGCCAGCTGTGCAGTCGTGACCCCTGCGCTGTCATCACAGAGGTCTGCAGGCCACACCTTCTAATTGTGCCCCAGTTACCTAGCTTTCAGAGGGAACCAGCTCACCCCACCCCGGGAGGAGGACAGCTGCTGGGAACCCAGCTCAGAGCTGCTGCTGAACTCAGATCTCTGCGGAGACTGGAGCTTCGTTCCAGTGTGAACCCCCAGCTGGGACCTCCGTTGTGTGTTTTATAAAATCGCATCTCTCCACTACTGCAAAGAGAACCCCACCAGCTGGCTGGCCTGACACCCCAGGGAAAGACTTTCCCAGGCCCATAGCAAGTGGAGCCCACAGGCTGGTGGTTGGTGAGACACCAGCTGCTGTGTGAGGGCAGGGAGCCAGCCAGGCCACCCCGTCCGAGGGCTGCACAGAGAGATGTCAGGAAAACGCAGGCCCTGGCTAAGAGAAGCCAGACAGGATGCAGAAACTGGCCTCCCCTCGCCCTCCACTGTGCCGAGCCTCCCTCTTGCCGCCCCTCACTACACTAAGGCAGAGTAAAGAGAATGGTAATGGTCCCGGGATGTCACCGAAGGAGGAAGGATCAGATCAGAAAGCAGAGGTTTTCTTTAATTCCAGCGGGCTACGCTAGGACTCTCAGAGTGACTCTGCTGGAAAGGGCACACTCCAGGCATGAGGAGGGCATGCACTGGCAGAATGTCTCCCCTGTACCAGCTGCCTTTTGCCGGCTGCACGCTGATTTTTACAGTGGATACCCCAGACACAAATCAATTTGTGTGACATTGGCTTTGGGCTAGGTTTTGAAGGCAGTGCATTAAATTTTTAGACCAGGGTTGTAAATGCATAATGCATTCAAGGTGAAAATCAATTACTGTGAACATGAAACATTAGTTAAAACTCAACTCCTCTACCAGACACTGGTGACTTAGAAAATCGACTCAGTGTTTGCACTTTGCTCATCCCTGGCTGCAACTGGTTCTTACAAGGGAGGGGCGGTGTGTGCGTGTGTGTGTGTGTGTGTGTGTGTGTGTGTGTGTGTGCTTGCACGGGGGTACATGTGTACGTGCGTCTTTGGTCTCCAGCATCTGTAGAACACGTACTCACAATTACAGGGAGACAGTCACATCACTCGACCTAGTTCCCATTGCTCAGGATACTTGCAAAGCTCCTGAGTGTCGATTCCAAGGCTCCTTCGGGCAATGGAACCAGATTTTGTACTAAATAGCATTTGGCTCCAGACTATTCCTGGGGAGGTGTAACTTCTCCAGAACCTACTTGTAAATAAATGAGTCGAGAAAACAGCTGTTAATTGTTTTTAAAACAGAATGATTAGGTGGCCAGGTGGCTTATTTCCAAAACTAGTAACATCGTGACTTTCAGCAGCTGGGGCTTCTGGCGGGGTTTCTACCTATCCAGTCTGGGTAGGATTTTACTTAGCATGCTTGACTTCCGGAAAAATAAACATCGGTAGCAACTTTTGAATTTTGCTAAGAATTCTTAAAGGCCAGCCAAACAGGAGTGTAACACCCGTCCAAGCTCGCCCCAGAACAGAGCATCCTCCCTGAGGAAGGCACGTGGATCACCCCGCTTCGCTGCCGAAGCACCTGGCTCCCCTCCTGCCTTCCTGCGGCTTCTGGAGGCCGATCCCGAAGTCTGCATCTGGGAGGAATCTGAGACGTTCCCACTCTGTCCTCCGTCACTGGGTAGCACCCTGCCTACATTACACCAAAGAGAGGACGTTTTCACTCCATCCTTAGAACTTCCCATGCCATTGGCCAAGCTCTCAGCCTTCTCTGCTAGAAAGCACGTCCTGTAGCTCACCGAGCCCTTTCTGTGCAGCTTATAGAATTGTTTTACAGTTCCTGAACTCCCACACTCCACGTCTTCTTAATCAAGGGAAGTTGAAAGGAGCCTGTCACTCTGGTCGTTGGTGCCTGTTGGTCCTTCATCTCTGTGTCCCTGACATAGGCCACGTGCTCAGGAGATGCTGTGTCATTGCAGCCCTTCCAAGGATTGATGAGATTCACCCTGATCCTCTTGTGAACAAGGTCCACTCACCAAATGTGATCCCGACCCACTAGATGCCCAAATACAGGGCAGGGTGTTTTGGTTTCCGTTGTTTTTAACTGAGTGTCCTGTGACTGCTATAAGGCAAATAAATATACGTTGAAAGCTAAGCGCTGGAAACATTTTCATTGTGTAAGTGGATTTCTCTAAAATGAACTAAAGAAGAAAGCACAGCTCAGGGCTCATGAAATTCCCATTACAGTGGGTATCTCTTTTCATTATATTTTGCCAGGATAAATAAAATGCAGGAATAAAAGGTGGGGGGACGGGGGGGAGTTATTGTCCGGAGTGTTTTCATCTCTTTGTCTGCCTTATAGTGCTTCACCCTCCCTTCTCTCCAGTCAGGTCTAGGTGTGTCTTTGTAAGACGAAACAACACAGGTTTCAGTGCATTGCCTGCAAGGTTCCCCATATAAACTGGGCTGTTCATATCCCAGCCAACACCTTCTCCTGTCGCTGTGACCCAGGTGTGAATAGGATGACTTTTTGATTGAAAAACCTGTGTCGCTGGTGCACTCACAAACCCCTGGCGATTTTGCAGCTGGCTTATTTGAGCAGTTTCTCCATACTAACCTGACTTTGAATACCTGTGTTTTGTTCACTTACAGATGGTATTTGACATCTTTTACTAAACATTCTGGCTGCAGTTTCTCTTAGAAGGATATAAATTGGGTTTCTTTACCAAAAAAATTTTAAAAAGGCTGTTCGATGAATCATTTAGAGTGAATATAAACTGTGAGATACAGTAAAGTTGGTATATTAAATATTATATCTAACCCAAATTATTGATGCCTGCTAATACTCAGTCTCACTGAGCTAATTCTTTCTCTTTTCTCTCCCTCCTCTGTTAAGTATATAATACTGTTCCTACTAGTCCACAAAGTAAAGGCAAACACCCTGCATCAAAACTAATGAAAGAGAGGTTTAGATAAAGAAATGAACTATATCAACAAGCAAACAGCATTTTGGAAAACATGTCAGTTATTATCACATATATGATTATATTCAGATGCCTATGGCCAAAAGAACCGCCCCATTATCCTCCTTGAAAAACCTTTTCCTCCCTCATACCTCACACAATGGGATTTGCTTAGAAGCATCTTTACATGGTGTAGGGGAAGAGAAAAAAATGTTTTTCCTCCTACCTTCCTAGGTTCTCCAGCTGAGGCCCTGTAAATTAGACTCATAAAAGATTAACAAGAGAAAATCAAACCGAAGTTTATTAACATGTGCATCACACATACACATGGGAACAGTTAGTGATGACTAACTCAAAGAGGTAGTTAGAACTTGAGCTTATATAGCATCTTCGAAAAAGAGCAATGAAATTTTAGAGAAATAGCAAGACAGAGGAAAGGAACTTTGAGTTTCTGATCAGCAAATTGTGAGGAGGTAAACAAGTGGGGGGAACTAACGGCAGACAAGGTCATGTTAGTAAGGTCTGTGCAGATCCCTTTCAGAGACGATTCCCAATCACTGGTGATAAGAATGTTCTCTTCCAGGTACAAAGAGGGGCACACCTTTGCAAGTTTATGTCCTGCTTTTAGGCATTTAGGGGGAGAACAGAGCATTTCTTTATCTACTTCTCAATTGTTTCAGCTCAAAATGACCCTTATGCCAATGTAGCCTATTTTGCTGTGGCATATTCTGCTGCCCTTCAGGAGAGTCCGTACCTTTGCACAGAGCTCGTCACTTTTTAAAGTATTTTTCTCAAATGCTCGCTTAATCTAGGGCAGATTCTAATGTCCCCAAGTTTTCAGAGCAATAAACTGAGCCTCAGATAAAATGTTCAAATTGGCATTTACTGGCCGCTTGGTAATTGTCAGGCACTGTGTGAAGTCTTGGATCCGAGAGCAATACAATGTAGCTGAGTCCTTTAACAAGCGTGTGTCTCACTCACGGAACCTAAAACACTGAACTCATAGAACAGAGTGGGTAGGTGGTCGCCAGAGGCAGGGGCTGGTGAAATGTGTGAAGGTGGTCAAAAGGTACAAACATACACCCGGCTGGTGTGGCCAGGCGGATTGAGTGTCATCCCATGGACTGAGAGGCCCTGGTTCGATTCCCAGTCAGGGCACATGCCTGGGTTGAGAGCTCGATCCCCAGTACGGGGTGTGCAGGAGGCAGCTGATCGATGTATCTCTCTCACATCGGTGTTTCTATCTCTCCCTTCTCTCTCTAAAAAAATCAGTTAATAAAAACATATTTTTAAAAAGGTACAAACAGCCCTGGCTAGTTTGGTTCAGCAGTTAGAACATCAGCCCACGGTCCAGAGAGATCCGGGTTCAGTTCCCGCTAGGGGCACGTACCTCGGTTGCAGTTTGTCCCCGGCCCCAGTTGGGGTTGTGTGGGTGGCAGCCAGTCGATGTGTCTCTCTCACATCGATGTTTCTCTCTCTCTTCATCCCTCTCTCCCTCTTGCTCTATGAATGCAAAAAGTGTCCTCAGATGAGGATTAAAAAAAAAGAAGTGCAAACATCCAATTATAAATAAGTTCTAGGGATGTAATGTACAGCATGACTGTAGTTAACAATACTTATTAACTGTTTTGTATATTTGCAAGTTGCTGAGACATTAGCTCTGAAAAGTTCTCATCACAAGAAAATTAAAAACGTAACTAAGTGAGATCATGGATGTGAACTGACTGTGGTGCTTATTTGTATCAGATCATGATGTTATACGCTTTAAACTAATACCACATAACATGTTCATTATATCTTAATGAAACTGGAAATTTTAAGAAATGCAGACTAGTAAATGAGACAAACGCAGCGACCAGTGAGCGCAACAGCGTGGGGGGGGGGGGTGTTACCGAGGTGTAGTACTGAAGAGGACACCTGGGAGGGAACGCTGCTCGGAAAAGGTAACATTTGGACTGGGAACTGAGGGGTGATTAGGAGCTCACCAGGAGGGTTAGTTTGAGACTTCGGGTTGGGACAGGGGAGGAAGGTGACTGGGGCCAATGTCACCCTGCGTGGAGGATCAGCATGAGCTGAAGCTCTGAGACAGGCACTGTGTGGTGCTTGGTGTGTGTCCGGAGGCTACAGGTGAGGCCCCAGGAGCAGGCGGGCGAGGCTGCAGAAGGCCCGTTCTGCCATACTAAGGCTGAAACGCATTCTTTCGAAGAATCATACCTGTGTTCTTAAAAAAAGAGTGCTCTGGTGAGAAAGTGGAACATGGGCTGGCTGGGGAGGAGACTGTAGGGAGATTAGACCAGTTATAGGAAGAGAAATGTTCATACGCAACTGCTCACGTCCAATGTCACAATCGGTGAATTTGGTAGACCAGCCATTCCATGAAGTGACTGTCGACAACTTGAAATTCAGTGAATTGACTCACGTTCATTAGAGAAAAAGAAGCAAAAAGAAAAGAGAATACAGAAAAAAGGGGAATGAGCGGAATCTGAGGGTTGTATGAGGTGGAGATTCCCAGCTGACAGTGGGAACACAGGTGTGGTGCTCGGGAGACTGAGGGGGAACACTGGGACAAGAGTCCAGCTCTTGGAGCATGAGCTGTAGATTTTCTCTTTTAATGAACTTATAACACGATGTAATCAGTGTCAGTAATCCTACACACCTTGTTCTTTATCCATGGGGAGTGCAAAACCATTTAATTATCGTCACTCAAGGCAATGTTGACGTTCAGACTGGAGCAAAACCAAAAAATAATAGCTATTCTTAGTATTTCACAAGCTCTCTCTTTCTCCACCACCACCTTTTTAATGAGTTTGGGTGGAGGTTAACAACTAAAAGTCATTTTAAAAGCTGGTTATGGAAGAGATATAAATATATTCAATGTCACTTCAAACACTAGAACTAAGACCAAAGAGTAAAACTTGGCACGTTGCCCAAAATGGAACAGTCTAGCGAAGCTGAACAACACAGGCTGCCTGGCAAAGCAGGGGGTTCTCAAGTCTGTGTCGTTCGAGTGGATACTGGGGGAAGAGTCCTGAGAAGATGGGTAGCTGCACCCAATGGTCTCACCCTAGTGTCATGATTCTCAGACTTGCATTTGGAGGATTTGACAGATGTCCGATCAATTGCATGTTAAGTAAATAGGGCTTTTTTTCTATAGCTGGTTTTTGGCTTATGTTTAACAACAACAAGAACAACAAAATAGCTTCACCTTGTACTGTGTGTGTGTGTGTGTGTGTGTGTGTGTGTGTGTGTGTGTATCTGATGAACAATTCACAATGAATCAGAGTCTATACCCCTCTCATGTCATCAGTACATTTGCAAATAACGCATGGTTCTTTGGGGTCATTATCAGCCTGTTGGTACTTCCTAGATGAGGAATACACACTCTGCATAAGGAAGGGCTATCATTATAAATAAATACCATGTTATTGCCCATAAGTAATTATATTAATGTATGTATATTAATATTAATAATGGATATTGCTACTCCTGGAATTAAAACCTTGTATGTAGATCTAAGTGGAACCTTTGGAAAGGAAATTTTGGAAGATGTCATGTTCATTATGCAACTTTATGTAGAAATTTTTTAATGAAATGGTTCAGGAAGAAAGCAGTCAAGAAGTTGCTTTTCCATCAAGACAAAATATCTAGACTATAGACGTTTGGCCTCTAACTGGATGGCACACACTAAGAATTGGTTCTTTTCTGCTCCTCTCAGCCCAATGCCGACTGCATGGACGACCTGCCCACTGACTTCGAGGGATCCCTGGGAGGCCCACCAACCAACCAGATCACAGGCGCAAGCGACACGACCGTAAATGAAAGTTCAGTCACTCTGGACCCCGCTGTCCGGACTGTGGGAGCCTTGCAGGTGGTCCAGGACACAGACCCCAGTCCACAGGAGGGAGAGGTCATCTTCTCTACCAACAGTAAGTTCTGTGCTTAACAGGGCCATAGTCAAAAGGGCTGTTGCCTTGTGGGAGTAGGAAAATGAATTATTTCCTTGAGAAGACAAAAAGAGATTCGGGTTAAACCACACCTGATAGGCCCCGAGAAGCCCAGCGGTTTCCAGAGCCGGCTGGGCGGACGGCACACCTGGCTCTGTCTGCCCACAGCTCTGTGCGCACACGAGCGACCTGAAGCAGGTAGGCCGGTGGGTCTGGCCTCGAGAATGGAGCGCAGGTGACAAAGCAGCTGTAGGGGACGCTCAGTAAAACTGGGCTAGGGTGCTGGTCTGGACTGCATGCAGGACGGTGCTCCCCTGCTGCCGCAGGGCTCAGGTGTAAATGACACCCCTTTAGACGGGCACTTTCCCCGTACAACCTAGACCCCGGTGCACGCAGCATATTAAAATACCTTCGGGGCCTTGGAGACCAGGAGTCACGGGTTCGATTCAGGCCAAGGGCATGTATGTGGCTGGGTTGTGGTTTGTCCCCGGCCCCGGTTGGAGTCGTGTAGGCGGCAGCCACTTGATGTGTCTCTCTCACACCAATGTTTCTCTCTCTCTCTTCCTCCCTCTCTCCCTCCTATCTGACGATAAATACAAGAATGTCCTCAAGTGAGGATTAAAAAAATAAATAAAATAAAATAAAATAAACATGAAAAGTCCTTCAAGATAGATTTTGATGCCTTTGTTTTGAAGGTTTAGAGTGTTGCTGTCCAATATTAACAATGCAACCCACGAAAACAGTTTTACATTTTCTACAGGCACACTAAAAAATGGGTGAAGTTCATTTTAGTAATACTTTTAACCCAGTGTATCCAAAACATTTAACTCTTCAGTACTAACTCAAATCTGGTGAGCACGCTACACCTACAGCACTTCCCAGATGCACACGCCCATTTCCGGTGCTCGGGACCATGTGTGGCCAGTGGTCTTGTACGAGAGGACACACTTCGAATCCCAGTAATTTAGGGATGGAAGAACTTGAAGGTAACTTAATTTTTACCATGATAACCTTTTACCATGAGAAAATTGTGGCCCAGAGGAGTAAGTGGCCGATTTGCGCCAAAGAAAAGTTCTCTTTTCAGAGGACAGAATGGTCCCATAATATTTCCAGTTATTGGACATCTTCAGTTACCATAACACCACTCATGGCCTGTGGGAAGTATATTGGAAGACCCGATAAAATGTTGCTAGCAATTCACAAACCCTGAATGCATGAGCATTTTTTGAACCCATTGAGAAAAAGTAAGTCAAAAATGCATTGTTTTTCTATGCAATGAAATGATTTTTTAATATTCAGGAGAAAACATGTCCTCTGTTAGATTCCTGTTTTGAAAAGTAACTACACACTTCATACATCTCAGTACAGCCCAGAAGGCAGATGAAAAAGGCATAATGTGTGGGTTAAATGACATTCAAAAATGAAATGGAAAACTGTGGTCGGTATCCATATAATTTATAATCCATCAAATGTTTTTGCCTAAAATAGACTTCGAGTGTTTAGGTCCTAGCAGGCGTTCGATAGATGTTGATTGAATGACCTGAGGTGAGAGTGTTCGATCTAAGTTGGGAGCAGGGGACTTCTGTCACTACACAAGGAAAAATGCCAGCTAATTTCAAAGGAAGGTATTGATAGAGACGAAGAGACAAGAGGTGATCACATCTGTAGTCTGAAGACTGGTGACATGTATATATACGGCTAGAGAACTTAACATATAGAAACTGAATTTCTTCACAAAATATTTTTCCTGGACCATTTATTTGTGGTTTGTTTTATTTATGGGAATTTAACAGAATAGTCCAAACATACTCATTCTGATTAGATGTTAATGGCTTATACCATTAACCAAATGACTGTAGACTCCTTAAGGGGGAAATTCTGTGCTCTCTACAGGTTTGTAAATTGCTTTGTGCCCTAACTCAGATAAGTAATCGATACATGAACAATCACAGATGCATGAATAAATGAGTGAAAAAATTCAAGTTCTCATCAACATTATTGCAACCAACTCTCTAATGCTATCTAAAAAAAAAAATGTGGATGGAGAAGTAAGTGTAGTTGCCACACATATTGCTACAAATCACAAACAACCCATTGGAGGTTGGACCTGGCTTTTCCTCACGTTATCTGTTCCCACCTCACATCTCTATGGACCCAAGAAACTACTAGAAAATGAGGAAATAATAGTAGCTAACAAATACATATGCCAGCGATACACCAGGCACCCTTTACAGTCATTTACTATATTAGCTCACAACAACTCTACAGTAACTCACATTTCACCGATGCAGAAATGGAGGCACAGAGAGATTCAAGTATCTGGCCCGAGGTCCTAAGCTAGTGACAGGCAGAGCTGAATGCAGAGGACCAGAGCCCTGTGTATGACGACTCCAAGCTCAAAGGGGGACTGGAGGAGAAAGTGGACACAGTTGCTCTCTCCCTTCTTGTTGTGTTTATTCTTTTCTGCCATTTTTGTAAACCTCCGAAAGGTCAATCATGTGGGTAGCTCCTACTTGAATTCTCATTCATCCCTACTTCCGTTCTTCCTTTCCCGACAAAGACTGGGGGTGCGTCAATCACACAAATGCCCGAGAAAGGCATCCGGCACTCGGGGTCCGGAACAGATCGCCGTTAGAGAGAAGACGGGAAATCTGGCGGTCAAGGATCATCTTCAGCTCCCGGGAAAAGAAACAGAGAACAGCAAGTCTGCCATTTGAGAGAAAGACACCCTTCACGCATATATTTCATGTTCCTGACATTCCACCTCGGGTACCTCGCGTGGCAGTCCCGAATCACACAGTCTTTGGCCTCCACCTGAGCTAGCGCGGGGGTCATTTGTGCAAACGTGCAGACGTCACTCCCCAGTCTTGCCGGCCTGCCCAGTTGCACCAGAAGCATGCTTTGCCTTCCGAGTCCCCAAGCCCAGGCTGCAGTTGCTGGACTTGCTTTAGCATTGGGGTGGGGTGGGGGGGCTTAGGATCAAAGGAAAACACAACCAAATAAACAGCTCTGGGTGTTGGGAGATTCCAGAGAGGAGCTAGAAAAAGATGCAAAAGAGAAGACTATCAGCCCTTTCACAAGACATTCAGTGTCTCTTCATGGCTCCTCAGAAGGTCAGAAACCTTCCCTTTGTTTCCCAAGGAAGCTGTCAATACCGCCATCCAGCTCCTACACTGAGTCAGCATGACCATCTCTTAGTACCTCTAGATCGGTACCCATTTGCCACTCCTTCACCTCAACTGGCAGCCCAGGGGGTGATGGGGGTGGAGGGAGCCGGGAGCGGGAAGAGACCTGGAGACAGAGAGAATCAGACTGCCTTAAATCTGCCCCAACACACGGAGGAGCACGTGGTGTCCTGAGTCTGGCGAGAAGACCTGGTGTTCAGGTTCTACGGAGGGAAGCAGTACCCATGGATTATTGCTAAAACTCGCCAGTTGAAATGAACTGTAGCATGGGATTCCTAGAGAAACTTCCTTTGCTAGCTTCTATCGACTGATCCTTGGGGATGCGGAGAGTATCTGATACGTTGAGCAAATCCCGTGTGTGCTGTAGTCAGTCGCCCCTCTGCTGGCTGGGCTGTCACAACCACGATGAGTGGCCATAATATTCCCCAGCCCCTGGGCGAAAACTCCCGCAGAATTTTCTGCTCACTCTCTTAGGTAATGGACAGTTCTGAGAGTCCCTTTGGGTCCCAGACACAGACAAAGGAAGTGTTTTCTCCTGTGAGGCCCCTTCCCTTAGAGCAGTTCCCATGACTGCAGACGGATGGGACCCCTTGCTCACTCACGAGGCCTCTCCAGCCCCCGGGCACCCAGCAGTCTGTTTGCAGCCAGTGCTGAAGCCCCTTACCCACAGGAGGTCCTTTGGGAGAGGCCCACGCGGAGCCACGCTGCTCCCTATCCCGGTGGCCAGCTCTGGGACACTCACACGTGGCCTGCTCCGCCAGCCCTCTCCAGTACGAGCATGCCGGCCCCACCCAGCCATCACCTCCTCTCCCCAGACGCCAGGCAGGAAGGAGACCTGAGTCCACAGCCTGTCTGCTTTAGCTTTTCTGAGGCCGGAGTCAGATCTCCCTGAGTCCCACCTCCGGGGAACATAGTTCAGAATCCCCTGGGGGTTCCCACCCTGGGTGTGGGCTGGGGAGGAGCCCTTCCCTGCCCCTTGGGCTTAGAGGAGTAGATTCCGCATGACAGTTCTCTCCAGACAATCTCTTTACCAGTGTTCCCACATTCTTCTCCCTCTCTCTCCTTTTTATTGTCTCAAGATGGGCGATGGGGACAAGAATCAGACCCGGTTCCCTTCCTATCCCTTGTGTGTGGGGCAGTGGGCAGGGAGCCAGCAAGGGCGGCAGGTGGGAGAGGTTGGCTCCTCCTTCCCTGGCCACGTCTCTTCAGTAGAAATGGAGGCAGGGAGTGTCCCATGAGTGTACGAAAGAGTGAGTTCCTGAATGTCTTAATGATCTTCGCCAGAGGACACAGTCTTAGCTGATGTGGTTACTCAACTATGGTCCCTTGGCAGAGAACCTAGAGATAGGTCAGCCTTTTTTGAGGGGTGGAAATTCTCATACTCTCCAATATGCACTCATGAGACAAAAATAATTGTCTCAGCACAGCTGAAATTGCAGCCCAGGAAAAAAGTCATTTTCTGGAAAAGAGTCATTAACAGCCGTTACTGCAGTCACCAGGAGCTCTCCAGGGACACACAGTCCATGCTGATCTTGAAAAGACTTGCAAAGACTTCATTCAGGGGCTGTGTGGCATCTCCGGGACGAACCGCTTTCTCTTCGAGGAGGGACTTGGTGTAAACCTCTCTGGGGACGCTTCAAGGCTAAGGACACATTCTCTTCAAATCAGGCCAGAAATGACATTCACGCCTGCATTTTCAAAGCTCTGTGTTTATTGCTAGGGAGCAAGTCCCGAAGCCTTCAGGACATCTATATTCCACAGTGTTCAGTGCCCCTGGGCTTGCTCTGACCGCAGTCT